GTTCTCCCCTTGAAAGGCCATCATTCTAAATTTGTGTTTTACTTTTTATTTTTTTCTGCCTTTTTAACTCAAAACTTTTTCCAATTAATTTTCTTTTTAATTAGCAATTCCTTCTCGGTGGTGTTCATCTTTTTATTTTTTAAAGTAGCAATTTAAGAAGAAAACTGGAAAATGAGAAGGAATTGAGAGGAGTAAATGATGTTTTTTTTAATTTTACACCTTTACTCTTTAAAATATCCTCTATAATTTTCTTCTTCCATTACCAATCAACAATCATTTTTTGTGAAAAATTATACAACAATTGTATGTATAATATTAAATTATACGTAAATAATTAAATATATTTTTGAATATTTAAAGACTCCCTTATTATTTTTTGTAAAATTTACCATTCGGAAGATTATTTGACGCATCCGTTGGGAATATTTTAAGAATAATGCCGCAAAGATTAAACAAAAAAGGGCATTTATTTAAATTAAGGACCACACAAACAAACGAAATTTTTCTGTTTTTCATTTTTTTCCTTCACTTTTTTTGAATTTTAAAGAAATTAGCAGCGGGATAGAAAAGTATTAAGTATATGTGTGTTTGTGGAACCGATTTTATATTTTTGAGAGAAAATAGGTTGAGAGGGAATGATTGAAATTGAGAAAGAATTCAGAGATTTTGTTTTGGATTTTTTTGTTTTTTAAAGTTATTTTTAAATATTTTTTGGAAATTAAGAGAAAGTCGTGTAATTAAGATAAAGTCGCCTCCCCCCTCCTCCCTTTTTTGGGTCATTTCAATACCTATTTACTTGATATTTTTTTCCAGATACCTATTTTACTTTATAATCTAATTATTAAAATTTTAGATTTTCTTCTTTTTTTATTGTTATTGACCTCATTTATTTTCATTTCTATTTTTGGCCTATGCTTTGCCGGCTATAACTGTATAAATAAATACAATCGTTGCCATTTTTAGAATAAAATTAAGAAAGCAAATAAATAAATATATTTAAAGACAAAAACAAACAAAAACAAAAAAAGAAAAAAAGAAAAACCGATTTGAGGGATTAGAGTGACAATCTGCTAGAAGTAACCACCTCCCCCCCTCCTCCCTTTTTTGGGTCATTTCAACCAATCTTTTCATTTTTGGACAGTATCAAGACTAACTTTGTCGATTTTAGTTGCATTGATTGGTACAGAAATTAGTGAAAGTGGGTGAATTTTGTGAACAAGTTATTAAGTAATTAACTATGTACGTAGAACGATTGGAAGTAATGACTGAATTAAAATGATTACTTGCGTTGGTTATTTTTTAAAAATATTTTAAGCCTAGCCAATTTGTATAAGATTCTCCATATTTATTTAAAATTTTTAATTTCAGAAATAATTTTTGTAAATTATTTTTTTATTTAAATTATTATTAAATATTTTATTTCCCGCGCTTATCAGTTACTACTACTTTAACTATATTCTTTCTAAAATAAACATTTTATTTATTACGGGCTAGAATTACTTTTATATATACACTTATTCTCTCACGGTTTTTATTATTTTAAATAAATATTTAAAAATAAAAAAAATTTTAATTTAAAAAACAACTATTCCCCTCTTCCCCCCCCCCTCCTCCCCCTCCATTTATTTATTTCTCACTCATTAGAAAATGCCACACACACACTTAAAAGTATATTCACAAAAAAGATTTACTCGCCAAATCCTTCTCTCTTTTTTCAATTTAATCCTTCCAATTTTTTGACACTTTATTTTTTTTGTTTCTTTCTTCCAATTTTTATCCCCTCTTAAAAGAGAAATGCCAAATCCATTGCCTAACTTTTATTTTAATTGTTACTTTTCACAAAAAATAATTTTAATTTTATCTAAATTTTATTTATCAATTATTTAACATCCCCCCTAAATTACTTTAAAAAACATTTAAGCGTTCCCTTCTCCAAAATAATTCTTCTATTTTTTTATTGCACAACAACAGATTCCCTCCCTCCCTTCTCCCTCCCTTTCCCCTCACTTTCCCTCCATTTTTACCTAAACAATCCAAAATGTGATTTTTTCTTCTAACCCTAAAAAGGTGTGAAAATGCAAATCCATACATCTCTAAATTTAAATTCCCTTTTCCCTTCCCCCCAATCCCTCCCTTCTTTTTTTAACCTATTTTTTGTTAATATTTTTAGTTTATTTTTTGCTTCTTCCTTAACCTTTTCTCTTTCCTTATTTTTTTATTTAAATTTTTTTTTCTATTTATGGCCATTCTATTAAAAAATAAAATAAATTGTAATTTTAAGGAAAAATTTTTAATTTTTTATTGGCAATAAATTATTTAAATATAAATTGGTTAATCTAAAAACAAAATTTTATATATTTTTTAAAAACTTTTAACCTTTCTAAAACAAAAATAAATTCTTTTAAAAAATTCTTTTCTGTTTACCCCCCCCCCCCTTCAAAAAATACTTTTTTCCTTTTTATTTTTTAAAATTATTTTAAGTAGCACTTTTTAATAATTAAAATAAATTTTAACAAAAAAATTCTTTAAATATTTTTTTGTTTTTCCAATTAAAAATTTTGTTGCAAAAATAAAAGATTTCCGGCATTGTCTTTTTGGCTAAAATATATCGGCAAAGGAAGGAAGGAGGGGGGAAAGATTTATTTATTTTATTTTGTTGTTTAGGGGGGCCTTTTTATTTTAAAGAATTACATGAAGAAAATTTATTAGATTTTTTGTTTTCTTTTTTGTTTTCCACAACTGGACAATTAGAAAGAGATAAATTTATTTTTGTTAAAAAATTTTTTTACATTTCTTATAAATCTAGTTAATTAATTAAATAAATATTTCATCTATTTATTTATAATTTTATTTTCTCTTTTTCTGGATTGTCTATGTCAATTTAATCACCAAACTGAAAAAAAATATTTTTTAAGAATATTTTTAAATTATTAGAATTTTTTAAGAATATTTCTATTGTTTTAACTAAATATCCAATAAAATAGCATATATGTAGTGGAAATTGTAACAAAATATTTAGTTTTTATCCCTCAAAAAAATTAATATTTTTTGTGCCATTTATTTTTTAAATAATTTACAAACTTTAATTAAATAAAAGAAAATATTTTTATCAAAAACTTCTTTTACCTTCTTTCCTCATTCCCTCACTATTCCTTTTCACTACTCCAAACATTTTATTTTTTCCTTCCCCACAGGATATTAATTTGCGCGAGTACCCCCTAGGGCTTTTACCAAAAACTCCACAAAAACCAAAAGAAGGAAAAGCCAACAAACTGACCAGCCATTTTATTTGTGCCCAAAATTTTTTGTCCAAAAATGTTTGTTTTTGTGACCAATTAAGTAGAAAAATAATAATTTAAGTTGAAAAAAGAAGGGCAAATAAAAATTTTTTGTGTCATTAAAATTATTAAAATATTTTGTAATTACTGCACAATATACATTATGTATGTTCTATAGTTAATTTTCTCCCTTACCTTCTCTTATTTCAATATTCATTACAATTTTAATATACTACAAAAATATTTATTTTATTTGAATGACCTCCAGCCGATTGGTACAAACAAATATTTTTATTTATTTTTTTATTGTTTAGGTGTGTAAAAAGAAAAAGCAATTGACTCGGAGGATTTGAGCATCTGCTTTTTATTTTTAACTATCCTCCTCCTCTCTTCTCTTCAATAAACTCATCGGAAATCCCCGAAAATTGCCTGCCAATTACTTTCTTTTCCGCGCAGAAATTGGCAATTTCTTTTTTTATTGAGGAAAAAAAAGGGGGGGGGGAATAATAATCCTTCCTTCCTTCTCCTGACTGTTGATATCTTTCAAAACACACAGGTGCGTAGTATTTAATAATTATTTTTTGGAAATATTTTTTATAGGTAGTAAACTCTTAAAAATTCTTTAAAAATTGTTTTTATTTTTAAATAATTATTTTATTCTAACTTTCCACAAACTTTCTTTAAAAAATTTCTCTAAAAAACTACTTAAAACCTTTTTAATAAACCTTATATTTCTTTGCCTTTTTTGTTCTCCGTTTACCCGTAAAAATAACCTTTTTGGCCCCTTGCTTTAAATTATGCATTAAAAAATTTAAAAGGTAAAAAAGAAAAGCAACATATGAAGAAAAAATTGATGAATTGTTGAGGGGAGGGGGGGGGAAGAGGGGGGAGGGGGGGGGGTTCTTAAAGAAAATTATTCTTTACTAGTTTATATCTTTCCTTCTTTCAATTCATTCAAGCGGTAATAAGTCTTATACAAAATATTTATAAATATATTCCTCAGAGTCGAGAGACAGATTTTTCTAAAATGGAAATAGGAACAGAATTGTGAAGAGACTAAAAATATTTTTATTTTTAAAATTATTTTTATAAAATAAATGCAAATCTCTTTAAAATTCTTTAATATCAAACAAAGAAAATACTTGAGAAACTTTAAATAAAATTTTCCTTTTTTTAAATTATATAATTTTTATCAGATTTTCTCTCTTCATTATTTCTAATCCTTTTTAGCACCTTTCTCTCTTTTATCTTTTCAAAGAATTTTTCTTCCAATTTTTATTGCATCACAAAATTTTAGACTTCAAAAAATACATAAAAGGAATTTCTTTTTTTGACTTTTTCTCGAGAATTTTAGATTTTATTTTTCCCCATTTTTTGCTCATCCTTTTTCTCTTAAAAGTATTTTTAAAAAACTAAAAATCTGATTTTCTTTTCTTTTCTTTTCGGCGACTTTTCTTTTTGTCCTTTTTTTACAAATAAATTTATTTTTATTTATTTTCGTGTCCTCATCTGTTGGCATTTGTTTTTCTTTTAACAATTTGGATTTATTATTTAAAAGCTAACGAAGATTTGTTAAAAATACATATTATTTGTAGATATTTTTGTGGGTTTAGTAATAATTAAAAAAAATTTTTTTGATTATTATACTAATATATAATACATAGTTTAATCTTAGAAATATTTTTTCAGCTCAATTAAAAACAACTTTTTATATTTAAAAAAATGCCTTGTAATTCTTGTATTCCTCCCCCACCAATTTTTGATATTCCCCCACCTCCAGATCCTTCTCTTATTTTACATTTATTAATTGAAGATATACAACAACAACAACATTCAGTTAATTTTAAATATTTTTAATTAATTTCTTCTTTTCTTTTTCAGTTTCGTCCCCAACAATTTTATTCTTGTTTAAAACCTGCATTTCCTTCTTTTTTATCAAAACTTTTATTTGGTGATTGGTTATTACCTTTTTTGGCTATTTTTCTTTTTTGTATTTTCACAATATTTGTTGGATTAATTATTTTAATTAGAAAAAGAAGAAAAAAAAGAGAAGAGGAAGAAATGAGGAGAAGAAGAACACAAAATAATGGAGGAGGGGAAAAGAAGAAAAAATTAAACAGAAAAAGGTAAATTTAATAAAAATTTAGGAAGCCTTAAGTATTTAATATAGCTACATACAATGTGCCTTTGAAAATATTTAATAATTAAAGTCCATTTATCATTTTTAGCGCCTTTTAATTAAAAACAGTTCTCCCTCTTTCTCCAAAAATTCTATTAATCATTCGGATTCCTTCTCTCTTTTCTTTCCTCCAAATTCATCTCTTTCACTATACAATATTCAATTACAATAATTTTCTTTCTACCAAAATTCTACCCCAATCCATCAATTTTATTTTAAATAATTCCAAAAAAGGAGGAAATATTTAAAAAGAAAATATACAAAAATAATTAAATATTCAAAATATAAAATGGCAAAATTGGGTAGAAAATTGGTAAAAATTTTATTGTTATTCTCATAATAATTTTTTAATTTTCATTCGCGCACCAACAAAAAAAATATATTTATTTATTTATTTTTGTTGTTGTCCAATACACACAAATTAGGCAAAATATATATAAAGCCATTTTAGAATTTTGTTAAAAAGGAAGGGGAAGGAAAAAAGAAAAATTGTTAGTAAATTGAATTGACTTGCAAAACTAGCCAAAAATAGATAAAAATTGAATTGAAAAAACAAAAATTTTGTAAATTTAATTTGTTGCCAGCTGTGGCTATTTAAATAAATAAATAAATAAATATATTAACACTTTTGGCACAAAAATAAAATTTATTGGAAGGATGATTTCTTTTTGATTTTAGAATTATAAAAAGTGGGGGAAGAAAATAAAATAATTTTGGTAGGAAATTAAAAAAAAATAAATTTAAATATAGGTTAATTTTCAGTTAATTAATCCTTCTTTTTTAAAGCAATTCATTTGTTGTTTCTTCGCCAGCTTCAGCCACTCCTTTTCAAATGCCAGAAAGTGATTCCTCATCTCCTTCAAATTCTTCCTCCTCTTCTTCATCAGCATTTTCTTCAATATCCAATTCTAAAAAACATTTTACTTTTCAACGTTCTTCAACAGAAACTTTAGCCAATAGTTTAACATATTCTTTAAATACACAACAACAAAAAATCCCTAAAAAACCAAAACTTTGTTGGCTTTTACATTCAAATACTTTCTCTTTAGCACATCCACAACAAATAAAAAGTAATGGTGATATTCCCAGGTATTTTATTTAGAAAATATTTTTAAAAATTTTTAATTTTTAAAGATATAAATTGCCGTCACTTCCTCCTCCTCTTCCAAACAACAAAAATATTCCGGTGCCTTCATTTACAAAAAGTCCTCCCAAATCAGTTGCTTTTCAATCAAATTCTCCAAAATATTTTATTTCAAGAAATATAAGTACTCCTTCATGTTGTTATGGAAGTAGTGAAATATATGAGGTTTTGGGGGGAATATTTACAGAAATTATTTTAAATTTAAAGGAATTAGCAACAGATTATCAAGAAGATATTGCAGAACCTCCTTATTTAAAAAGATTAGTCAATAATAGATTACCTCCCCCAATTACTCGACCACCACCTTTACCTCCAGAACAATTTAACAATAATTGTTGTTGTTGTGAAAAAGAAGGAGAAAATGGAAAAAGTGGAAGAGAAGAAGAAATTAGACAAAAAATAAATAATTTTGGAAATAATAAAAGGTTTTTAAATTCAAAAATTTTGAAAAAAATTTATTTTTTAAGTCAAAATAAATTTTCAATAAAAACACCTCCTCCTCCAAATAATACTCTTCCAAAGTGGATGTCTACAGAAAATGAAAAACAAAATAAAGGAATGTTATCCTCCCCAAATATTTGGACATCAACAAAAGAAAATAATGAATATATTTGTAGACAAAAAAGAACTTATGTTTAGAGAAAAATTTTTTAAGAATATTTTATTATTGCCATAAATTATAAAAAAAATATTGCTCAAAATTAAATAAAAAATATTTTTTTTTGTCAAATAATTAGTGTATTTTTACAAATTATTGGAATTTCATATGGCATTTAAATTAAATTTGAAAAAATAAACTTATGGGTGAATTAACAAGTTATTCCCTTGACAAGTTGTACGGATAATGAACTCGGCGGAACTTTGAAAGAAAAAAGTTATGGCCCAAAATATGGCTTCAAAACTCAACCGGCGGGACTCAATGAACAAAATTTTCGGACCTAGGAAATCAGTTTCTCTTGCGATTTTTGTGGGTTTTCTCACTTCCTACTATCTGATGAACATTCTAAAAAGTTGCCAAGTCTTGACTCTAGACTTTTCTTGAGGTTTTTCGGTCTTAGGGTGAGGTTTTGGTCTCTACTTTTTTTTCTTTAGGGAACGAATTTTTTTAAAAAAATGAGAAATAAACAAATTTATCAAAAAATAAAAGTCATTGTCCTCATCTCACTTATTAAATTTGTGGCCCTAAAGAGGGCCGTTTAGGTTGAGGCTGTTGTTGACGAAATTCCAACATCGCTTCTATTCCGTCCAAGAATGAAATTCTCCAAGGAATTCAAAAATAAATTCAAAAATTATCTATGTTATTCTTAATTTATGGGACTTCTATTACCAGAATATCAGTTCTGGTTCGCCTTTTTACACCAATTAAGAAGACCAAACGATAAAAAAAGCCAAGACTATAAAGAAAATTTGGGGGCGTGCTGAGACTCAAATGTACAAAAACCTAAAGGTTTAGGCTTCAAAAGGTTTAGGCTAAAATATACCAGGTAACGAAAGAGTCTTAAAATATGGCATCAAAACGAAAGTTTTTGGGATATAACTTTTTTGTTTTTAAATCAATCCAAATAATTTTTGCTTTATTTAAAAGCTCTGGATGTACTGGTTATTTTTTCATAAAAATTGTTTAGTTTTACTGTCTTTCAAAAAAGTTAGGAGCCGTTAACTGCGAATAATCGTGATTTAACATACTTAGGCGGGTGTAACTTACTAAGAAATGATCGGATCCTTTCATAAAGTTAATAAAAAGAATAAAAACAAATATAGATTCTAATTGATAAAAAAAATTTCTGGAAATGATCGAAATAAAAAAAGTTATGGCATAGAAAAAGGCGTTTCGATGCTACGTCGCCGAGACTCTATTGACAAGCAAGCCTAAAGGTTTAGGTTTGTGCTGAGACTGAAAATAAATGTAAAGACAAAAGAGTCTTGCTGACTTTTTGACATAATTCAAGTCAATTAATTGTTCTCATCAGGGTTGCCGCCCGAAACCCGTTACCCGAAACCTGGCCTTTTTTGTACCCGAAAAGAAAACTGCTCCGGCTTCAACGGGTTGTGCAGCTGTTTTGTTTTGTTTTTTAAATTCAACTTCAATTTATTTATTTTTTTCAGAACAAAATTAATTAGAATGGTATATTTTTAATAAAAATATTTTTAATTTAATTTTCAGCCAATTATTTCTCTCCAAATGAAGGCAAACCTTGTAAATGTTACAAATTTAAAACCTCAAAATTATGAAGAACATCGCTGGTATTTAAAGGTTTTTTTGTGTTTTTATTATTTTAAATTTAATTTTTTTTAGTTAAAATGTTGTGGATGTGGGGAAAATTATGAGAGATGGCATTATGGAAATATTAAAGTTTTTGTTAAAATTTAACTATAAAGGAAGTAATTTTAGGAAACACATACTTTAACAAAAGGTAAGGGGATTTGCCATATTTCAATTAAATGCTCATTTTGTGGGAGAATAAATACTTTAGGTTATTTTTTTAAATTTATTTTAATTTTCTTTAAATTTTTTTAATAAGAAATTTTGCCAAACAGTTATTTACCTTACAATAATGACAAAAATGAAGAATTCCAAACAATTGTTAAATTTGAATGTAGAGGGTTAGAACCCGTTGATTTTGATCCCCGTATTGGTTGGAGTTGTTGTAGTACTGAAAGTGATTTAAATTTTGAGGAAATTGACTTAAACACGAAAGTTTTTTTTAAATTATTTTGGGGGAAATCTTAATTTTTGTAGGAATGGTTTGATTATGATGAAAAAGCTAGTCTTCCAGTAGAAATAAAAGAAATGTTTTTTAAATTTGTTGTTGTAAAAGAATAACAAAAGTTTTCTTTTAAATAATTTTATTTATTTATAAAATTTATTTTTTTTCTTTAAATTTATTAATTTTTTGGTTATTTCCCATTCTATAATTCAAAATAATTTTTTTAAATTAATTTCTAAATTTTAAAAATTTAAAAAATGTTTGGATTAACAGAAAGGGGAAAGAAAATGTTAATTCATCAAGGCTATAAATATAACAAAGAAGTTTCTCGAAAAGGGACAACTTACTGGACTTGTAAAAAATATAGAACACCAGAAAAATGTATGGGAAGGGCAAAAACAATTGGAGAAGAAATAATTGAGACACAAAAACATTCTTGTGTTCCTTCACAAATTGATGTTGAAGCAACTCAAATTCGAAATAAAATTCTTCAAATAGCTGCTTGTTCTTCACATTCCCCTATGGTTATAATTAATCAGTGTCTTGCAGGTTTTTCTTTGGAATTTTCTTTAAATTAAAAGATTTTTAATTTTTAAGGAGCTTCAGAAGAAGCTAAAGCAATACTTCCAAAACTTGAATCTTTGGCTACAAGTATTAGAAGAAAACGAAAATCACAAGGAATGGGAATTCAAATTAATGTTGACGAGGAGGATTTTAATTTAGAAAAAAATAAAGAAAATATTTTGCTTGATACGGGAATTGGGGACATTAACAGAGTAATTGTTTATGGAACTAATTTAAATATTGCCCGTCTTTCAAATTGTGATACTTGGCTAGCTGAAAGTATTTTTCAACCAAATTTTGATTCTTTCCCCCAACTTTGGATTATTTTTGGATTTTATAGGTAATTTTTTTAGAATTTTTTTTAAATAGAAAAAATTTAGAGAGCAATTAATTCCTTTTATTTTTTGTCTTCTTCCAAATAAAAATGAGGAAACTTATCAGGCAGCTTTATTAGCCATTCTGAATGCTGTTGGAGAAATGTGCCCAAAATTTTTTATAATAAATTTTGAAAGGGAAATTGAAAATGTTATTAAAAAACTTCTTCCACAAACACAAATAAGAGGATCTTTGTTTTATTTTTTTAAAGTTTTTTTGTTTAAATATTTTTCTTTAATTAAATTTTCTTTTAGTTTATGTGGAAAGCAATTCAAAATAAAGGGTTGGAAATACGTTTTGAAAAAGAAGAGTATGCAGTGATTTTGAAGAAATTTTGTGTATTGGCTTTTTGTGATGTTAAGGTGATTTTTTTAAATTAATTGAAAGTACTTTATGGATATACCACTCCCTATTTTGAGTATATTTCCAATTCTTAATCTATCGATCAAAAGGAAATGGAATGAAATCGAGCAAGACATATTGAAAAAACACTGATACTTAAATTAGGTGGTGAGGGTAATCCATAAAGTATCTAAAACTAAATAAAATGATAAGGAGAATTTGAAAGTGATTTTTAAATGAAAATCAAAAAAGTTTAGAGTAAATTTTATAGAGAGTAGTTGTTAATGGGATTTTTTAGTTTTCGGCTAAAAGAATAAAAAATAAAGGAATGATGTTTCAATAAATTTAAACAAAATATTTATATACATATTTTTAGGATGTCCAACAAAGATTTGAGTATTTAGCAGATCAACTTCTCCTTCAATTTGGAAATATTAAAGAACACCAAGATTTTATTGAATATTTAGAAAATAATTTAATTGGAAGGAATCGACGTACTCCTCGTTTTCTAATAAAAATGTGGAATTGGAAAAATATAAAAGAATTTGAATTAAATGGAATAATTAATTGTTTTTGGAATAAAAATATACAAAATTTATTTGAGAAAATTAAATTTAAAGATTTAAATGAAATTTTGGAAGAAATTAATGAATTTTGTGTGAAAGAAGAAGAAAAAGAAGAAGAATTAAATGAAAATAAACAAAAAAATTTAAAATTTTTGGAAATTATAAAAGAATATAAAAATTGTGATGAATTTGATTATTTTTCTAAATGTGTTAATTTTATAAATTTTGTTTAAATTTAATAAATGATTAATTTATTTTTTAAAATCAATTTCTTAGTTTGTAATTTTCAAATAAAATTCTTAGATTAAAAAGTCTATTCAAAACTTGCAAAATTTAAAACTCCAAATAATTTTTATTAAACAATCAAATTTATTAAATAACTTTATGAAGACTATTACTTCCAAAATTAATTGGACAGTTCAAGAAATTAAGAGAATTCAATCTTCTCTTTGTACCAACGGCAGAATACAATTTGCAAGTAATCCCTTAATTATAGTAATTTTTAATTTCTTCCCTTCTTTTTCCTAAAGTGCTTCTAAGACTTTCCTCAATTTTACTCCATTCGGCATGTTCAAACTTATGAAGACTAAATTATACGTATATGTAGTAGTTCTCCCTTTATAAAGTTTTGTTTTGCGTGTAGTCCTCTCGTTTTTATATTACGTCCAATTACTTTATTAACTGATTGAATGCCACATGGAAATGGAATGAAATTGGGGAAGTAAAAAGTTAATACATGAAAAAGGAGGGGAGAGGGGAAGAAACAATACACAATTCTTTCAGGTAATCGATTTGGCGATCCCGAATTTCCAAAAGTTGCTTGGCAATTATTTATTGAAATTATTCATTCGTCCGATTATGGTCGGGGGTATAGCCAAAGCTATAACAAAGGGGAAAATGATATTATTCACATCTGGCTTAGCCAAATGGGGCCTAATGGATTGAATGATTTTGTGAATACTAAATATAAAATTTATGCAATTGTAGAGGATAATACAAATGTTGATATAGCCAAGTAAATAAATTAAAAATATATTTGGGAAAAGATTTTGACTAGGAACATTTAAATGAAATGAGCTATTTGATTAGAGTAATTTGATTAGAATAATATTTGGTTGCTTTTTAGCATTAAATTTTGTTTAATGGTTTATCTAAATGTTTTTTAATTAAATTAATTTTAAGGTCTACACACAAATTTGAGAATCAAGAAAAGATGGGATACTCCAAAGTTTCTTTGAAAAAATTACTTAAAGATAATGGTAAGATATTCGGATTTTTTTTTGAGAAAATTTTTGTTGTTTTTGATTAGAAAGAAATAATTTAGGGGCTTTGGTTTTGTGTTGTGAAGTGGAAATTGATTATTATAATCCTATTGATGATTTACAAATTAATGTTTATCGAAAAATGTTTGAACAGGAAATGTTTACTGATTGTGTTATTAAAGTAAGAAATAAATTTAAAATTAAAAATAAATTTATTTTTAAAAAGATTGGGGATCAAATAATTAATACTCATCGTTGTATTTTGGCTCAAAATAGTGAAGTATTTTATAATATGTTTAAACAAAATGGAATGATTGAATCTTTAAATGTTAGGGCTTTGTTATTTTTAGTAAAATTAAAAAAGAAAAGAAAATTAAAAAATAAATTTAGAGAGAAGTTTTTATTGCTGACACTTCCCCCGAATGTTTTCGTGCAATGCTGGAATTTTTTTTTCAGGGAATATTAATAAAAGTTTTTTTTAAATAAATATTTTTAAATAATTTACAAATAATTAAAGGTTTAATGGAGAATCATGTTGATGATATTTTTGCTGTTGCAAATAAATATCAAGTGGAATTGTTGAAACATGAATGTGAACGATTTATGTGTTCTAAAATTGGTAAGAAGGAAATTAAGAAAGAATTTTTTTTTAATTTTTAGATGCCAAAAATATTTCTAAATATTTTAATATTATTCAATTATATGGGGCTCCGACTTTGGAAAAGGTGAAGGAATTTTTAAAAGTTTTTTTTTATTTTAAATTTTGCAATCGAACTTCGTTTTTAAATAAATTCTTTTATAATAATTTTAACGAAATTTTTTATAAAAATTAATGGAATTGAATAAGCAATCAATTGATATTTTTTAATCTAAAAATAATTTAATAATTCTAAAAAAATTTTTGATTGAATAATCTTTAATTAAAATATTCCTTCGCCCTCCCCTTGTTTTTAAATTCGATTTTTTGTAATATTTAAAATCGAGGTTTGACTGTCCAGAATTATTTATAAAATATAATTATTTTAAAGGCCTGTAAAACTTATATTCAAAACAACAAAAACTTTATAAATAGCGAAGAATGGAAGGAATTAAGTAAAACATTTCCTCAATTGGCTCTTCAATCTTTGGAATATGTTATTAATGATTCGATTAAAATTTAAATTTTTTGTTTAAAAAATTAAAAAAAAAATCATTTTTAGAAGTAATTAAATTTTTTCGGAATACAACCAGGGCTATAAATAAATAAATATTTTTATAGTCCCCTGTTTTTTATTGTTCTAATAATTAATTACTTCAAAAATGTTTTTTATAATTTATTAAATTTTAACATTTTATTTATTTTACACTTTGAGAGAAAAAAAATATTTTATTTTTTGAAAATAAAAAAATAAAAAATACATTTTTAAACAATATTTAAGCATTAAAAATTAAGTGAAAAGGCTTTTAAATAAATTAACAAATAATTATTAAGTGAAGAGTTTATTTTTTAATTTATAGAAAATTACATTAAAGACTAGATAGACATTTCTGTCTTGAACTTAAATTTTTGTGGTAAAATAAAAATTGGAAATATTTAAAGAAAAAATAAGTGAAATACTAATTTAATTTCTAAAAAGGCATTTTCTATTTAACCCAAAAATTATTTTGAATATTCTCTTTTGCTTTTTTATATTTTTGTTGGTTTTGTTCTTCCAATTTTGGACGGTGCCAACGCCTATGAGAAGCTAAATTTGCTGGACAACTAAATACCTAAAAAATAAAAGGAATTTTGAAAAAGCTAAATGTTTTTACAAAATTCTTGATTTCATTTTAGAACAATATGAATAGTTATAACCTGACAATCTTTTTAATTCAAGAGAATTTAAGTAGAATTTTTTAAAATTTGTTTTTAAAATAAGAGAAAATTGAAAAGAAAGAGTAAATATTTTTTAAATTAATTTAATTTTTTTCCTAAATTAATTTAATAAAAATATTAAATATTATTTTCTTTTCCATTAAATTAATTAAAATTTATTTATTTAAAAGCCAAAAATAAATTTAATAACGCCCAGCTGGAATTCTCTACTCATGCCTTTTAAAATCAGAAAAAAGACCGAATCATTTGCCTTTTTAAATGTTTTCAAGCTGTGAGGATAAGCAAGAAATGTTTTTAAAATACTTGAAATATTCGAGATTTTTGTGTTTATTGTTTGCCTTTTTCTTTCTTTTTTGAAGAATGCCGACAATAAATAAATATAACCTTTTTCTTTTATTTTCTGCCACCCTTTTAGTATTTTAATTTAATTACTGTATTTTAAGAAAATAAAAGAGAATAATTAATTTACTATTAGAGGTTATTTAAAGGAAAGAAGAGATACGGCATTATCTCCAATAGAATGGCCCTATCCAGTTGAATGATCCCCTTTAATAGAATGGAGGATGATTGAAAAATAGAATGGCCGGGCATTCTATTAGAGATAATACGGTAATTAATTAATTCAACACATACATACCTTTTCACATTCTTTACATTTATATTCTTCGTGTTGAATCCGAGGGCATTTATGCATTGCAAGACGAAAAACATCTTCAAATTTAATTTTACACAAAGCACATTTAGAATCCCCAATAACATCCGGAATTAAAGCAATAGCCTTTCTAGCTCCTTCTGAAATTTTTACAAAAGAAGCCGAGTCGTCCAATTGAAGTTTAGCGGCTTTTGCTGTTTTTCTAAGTTCCTCTTCGTCACAAAAATCCTTTAAAAATAATTTTAAATATTTAATAAACATTCCAAATACTTTAATAAACATTCCAGAGACAGGAGAATCTGTCTCAATTTCTTGTCTTTTCCGTTTTCTTTTTAAATTTTCTTTTGGAATTAATTTATTTTTTATCAATTCTTCCTCTCTATTTTTTAATAATTTTTGTTTTTTAAATTCTTCTTTTTGTAAATTAATTATTTTGTTATTTTTAATTTCCTCCTTAAATTAATTAAAAAAAAATAATTTTTATTTTTAAATTTACTTGTTTTTTAAATAAATATTTTTCTTTCTCTTCTTCTTCTCTTTTTTGTAAAAAATATTTAATTGTTTCTATTAATTGTTGCCTTTGTTGATCCAAAATTAATTGAAAATTTAAAGTTTGTATTGTTGATTGTAATAAATTAAGGGAATTTAAATATTTATTTTGTTGTTGAGAAGAAGGAGAATTAAATAATAATAAATTATTTAAAGGAGAGGAAGTAAATGTTGTTGAAGAAGGGAAGGAGGAAGAAGGCAACATTTTTTTATTGTTTTTAATTTAAAAAAATATCTTAAGTGGACAAAATTATAATTTAATAGCCTCCATAAATAGCCCCCCCCCCCATTAATTTTTAAATTTGTATTTTTTATAAATAAATGAAAATTTAAATGCTAAATTAACGGGAAAATATTTTAAAATTTTTATTTTTTTAAAAAAGGACTAATTAAAGAATACTTTAAAGTGCCGTTCTTACTTTTCCCGCTTCATCCAAACTACTCTGGCAGTCAGTGGCCTTTCAATGACCAAACATGCACATTCAAAGACGAGGAAAAAAAAGAAATTGAGGCGGTGCCAATTATGGACACACAACATCTGTCCTTTTCTTCTAATAATTTTTTATTTCTCGATGAGGTCGGGAATTTATAAAATGAAAAAATGAAGGAATAAAAAGAATTTATTTTTTGGATTTTTAAAATTAATTGGGAGAGGAGGGTGGGAGGGGGGATTTTAATTTAATTATTTGTATTTAATTTATTTAAAAATTAAACTTTCAATAAATACACACAAATATACATATTTATTTATTTTTATTTAAAATATTTATTTATTTTATATATTAATCAATCATTATCTAGCTTTAAAGCCGAAAAAAGGCCACAAACAATTTCTTCAGCTTGCCTGAAATAAAATATTTTTAAGACAAATCCCGCGGAAAGGAATAAATTAAAGAAAATATTTAGAAAAAAACATTTTTTAGAAATTTTATTTTTATTCCAAACACTTTACTAAATTTAAATTTTTTAAATTAAATTTAAATATTAAATTTAAATATTTTCTTCCAAAAAAAATATTATTTAAAATAAAATTATTATTTTTAAAAGCTAATTAACAAATAAACAAAAATAAAATGCCGAAAATGCAAATTAGAAAAATGGAAGAGTTAAAATGAAAAATACATAAACAATGTGAGGATGAAAAGAAGATTTGTTTTTGTTTTGAATAAATAAATATATTTATTTTTGTTGTTATTGAAAAGCAATATATATATAGGTATATATTTAATAATTCTATAAAAGCTAATATTTTGGCACAAAAATGAAAATCAAAAATTCATGGAAATTTCATGTTTTTATTTTATATATTGTTTTATATTTAAAATATTTTCCATTACATAAACTCAAAAATCTAAAAAACTTATAGCGTTCTGTTAAAAAGCCGGATCTTTACTGTAGTCAATGTCCTGCACCAGCCAGCATTTTGCAATATGTCTCTGCTTCATTACCTCTATTTCCCTTAATTTTCCTCAGGGTATCAACTGATTGGTTGACAGCTTGGCCTAATTTCCGTATGGCTAAAGATAAGATGGATCCTGGATATTTGGGTATCATTGTTTAGGGATAAAGCATGGGAAAAGAAGCATTGAAGAAGGTTAGGGCCATAAATTGCCAGCTAAATTACGTTCCCTTCTTGGAGATCTGAAACATTAGTGAGCGCTGATAATGTCAAAAAACACAGTGCAAGAGAGTTAACTTTCCCTTTATAACTCCCTCCATATTTGGACATGGTAAATGTCCAGCTCGCATTCTACCTTCTGCAAATGCAGTCCGCAAAGGCGTTCTGCAAGAGGCATTTTTGCTGCATTCTCCTCCTTTTCTTCTTTCCCTTCATTTTCTTTGAGTTACCAAATGATTGGTTGACAGCTTGGCGTAATTTTTTGGGCGTTATTCATGAAAAAGATTTAATTTATAAATAATTATATAAAAATTTAAAAAAATATAAATTTATGATAAAGTTATAAAAAACTAAGCGGCAAATTGTTGGTAAAAATTTTGAGAAATTGGTAAACCAAGAATTCAGATTTTCTTCTGTATTAATATGTATGAATATTGTGGATATTTTGTGGTATTCGCGGATATTACATATCCGTATCTATGAACATCTCTGATTTTTAATATTTTATAAAATTCAACCCAGCCTAGTTAAAGGTTCCCTTGATTTACAACTTTATCATAAATTTATATATTTTTTTAATTTTTATATAATTATTTATAAATTAAATCTTTTTCATGAATAACGCCCAAAAGATTACGCCAAGCTGTCAACCAATCATTTGGTAACTCAAAGAAAATGAAGGGAAAGAAGAAAAGGAGGAGAATGTAGCAAAAATGCCTCTTGCAGAACGCCTTTGCGGACTGCATTTGCAGAAGGTAGAATGCGAGCTGGACATTTACCTTTGGACATTTCATTGGATGATTCCATAAATTAAAAAAAAAATAATTTAGAAAAAAAATTCAAAATAAT